TCACCGCCCCTTGACCCCGCGCGCCGGCCGCGGCGGGTGGGCGTGCTGCGGCCGCGTGGGGGCGAAGTGCGGGGCGGCCTGGACGTGGTGCGGAGTAGGGGCGGACACTGCCCCCACCGTAGACCGTCCATTCATTCACTCGTCCCTCCATCCGTCCACCCTGTTTCCCTCCTCTCCGCCCCTGACAGATCTGAGAACAGAGCAGGAGATGCCCGCGGTCTAGGTCCGCAAGTGGGACCGGGGTTCCCGGCTCCAAGCGGAGACTCCACCTCAGTTTCCTCAGCCTTAAAGCAGGGCTCATAATAAAACCTGTCTTCCCAGACTGTGTGATAGGTTACATGAGGTAATAGGCGTACAGAGCCTAGCATGCTTACAGTTAAGAGAGTGAGTGTCCGGAAAGTCCCATGCTCTTATGTGTGTCATCGCCTTTCAGAGAAGAGAGCAAAGACTCACATGGGAGAGAGGAACAGGCCTTTCAGAAATCACTGTGCTGCAGGAGGGAACCTTGATCCAAGACCCCTTACTCGGTCTAGGTGAATCCAGGGAGTCCCATTCTCCCAGGAAGCCGAGCCTGAAGGGTACTTAGGGGAGTGAGGCAGGAGAAGGGTGGTATGTCCTTCGTGGAAGGTGTTGTCTGTGAGAATGCTCAAACTCCGCTTCCCCTAGCAGAAATGGGCGGTAAGGCCATTGAAGCTCTGCCTAAGTCTCTGGGACGTTCCAAAGTTCAGCACTTTTAGCTTTTAGGTTAATGAGAAGGCATTTAAGTATCAGGTTTGTGGACAAGAAAGATCACTGGGCAAGTTGAAGAGGAATAAAGGAGTGAGCCTGAAGTCAAGAGATTGCCGGACTAATTTAAGTGAGGCGTAAGGGTGGCCTTGAGTAAGTTTAGGTGCATGAGAATGAGTGGGGAGAGATCATTTTGGAGGTAGAATTGATAAAACTTGGTGATAACTCCAGCGAGAAAGCACTGAGTTGTCAGGATTGTCCCATTTCTTCTTTTTTTTTTTTTTTTTTTTTTGGTTTTTCGAGACAGGGTTTCTCTGTGTAGCTTTGCGCCTTTCCTGGATCTCACTCTGTAGACCAGGCTGGCCTTGAACTCACAGAGATCCGCCTGGCTCTGCCTCCCCGGTGCTGGGATTAAAGGCGTGCGCCACCACCGCCCGGCTGTCCCATTTCTTCTTAAAAGTGTGTGTATGTGTGTGTCAGAGGACAGTTTGTCAAGTTGATTGGGTTCTTATCTTCTGCCTTGTTGAGTCAGGGTCTCTTGTTTCTCCTGTATAGTGTATTACAGGCTTGATACCCCAAGCATTCTGATTCTCCCGTCTGTCTGTCATCTCTCCCCAGGAGAGCTGAGATTACAGTTGTGCCCCGCTGCATTGTGGGCTCTAGGGAATCAAACTCAAGTTGTCAGGCCTGCACAGCCAAACAGGCACTTTACCTGCTAAGCCAAGTCCCCAGTGCTGTCCCCTGTCCTTGGCTGGTGGATGTTGGCATTGCTCACTGTGGTAGGAAGCAGGACAAGGAACACATTTAACAAGAGGAAAGATTTAGTTTTAACTGAGCGGGAAATAATGTGCCTGAGAAATAGGTAAGTAAGTCTGGGATGGTGGTTCATGCCCAGAACCCCAGTACTGGGGAGGACAAGACAGAAGTGTGGATAGTTCAACTCACTATATAGCCTGAGCTATATTGCAAGTTCTGGGCCAGCCTGAGCTATAGAGTGAGACCCTGTCTAAAAACAACAACAACAAAAAAAAAAAAAAAACCCCTAAAATCCTGTCTAAAACATTGAGGTGAAGCTATCTGGTGGTGATCTACCACTGTCATGAGGGTGTGGATGGGATGAGAATCAGTGTTGTGGACATCTCAGGAAAGTCTGTGCTACCCTAAACTGAGCAGAGCATCACCACTGGCTGGGCCTTTTCTCAGGAAGGAGTTCCTGAGTGTGGAGCTTGGAATCCTGATTGTTCATCTTGTTTCCCAGGCCCAGCACACAGTCTTCTACAGCAGGCCAATAGTAATTCATTTTACCATTCACTGAGGGCTTACCTTTTGCCAGGCTCTGTCCTAAGCTCTGCACTTGCCTCATTGATGGGAGAGAAGAGGAGCTGGGCCTGGAGAGCAAGCAGGTGCCCTCACGTTCTCACTGGTACTTCCACTTGGGTATCTTTGATTTAGGTGATGAGCTGGAGGAGGGGAGCCGAGCTGGAGTTCCTACAGGCACACTGTCTGAGAAGAGAGCCCCCCGCTTTTTGGAGATCTGAGGTATGTCTATAATACTGAAGGACAAAAGCTGTCTGTAGGAGACAGGGGTTTTTTGTTTGTTTGTTTGTTTGTTTGTTTGTTTTTTGAGGCAGGGTTTCTCTGTAGTCCTGGCTGGCCTCAAACTCACAGAGATCTGCCTGCCTCCTGAGTGTGGGGATGAAAGGTGTGTTTTTAGTCATTATCTGCACTCAGCATGGTTCAGATTGCCTTTTCAAGATTTTTTTTTCCTTTAAAATTAATAATAAAGTCAGGTGCGGTGGTACACACCTTTGGTTCTAGTACTTGGGGATTCAGAGGCAGGTGGATCTCCGAGTCTGAAGCTAGCTAGGGCTACATAGTGAGATTGTATCAAAATTTAGTGAAAAAAATCCTTGTTAGAGTTTTATTGTGAAATGGTGGGTAACCTTCATTCTTTTTTAAATAGCGTCTCAGTGGTATTTGCCCTGTCACTCAGGCTGGCTTTGAATTCAAAGTGATCCTAACTGCTTCCCTAGTTCTGGGACTGTAGGGAGCTACCGTGCCTGATCTGCTTTCTTACTTTTGTCAGCAAAACTAAAGGATGCTTGCTTTTTTTTTTTTTTTTTGAGACAAGGTCTCTCTACCCCTGGCTATCCTGGTTCTTGTTTAGTAGACCTGGCTGGCTTCACACTCTGCTGGTGCCTCCTGGGCGCCGGGTTTGAAGGTGTGTGTCACCACACCCAGATTTTGACATATTTTATTTTATTTTTAAAGATTTATTTATTATACATAAGTGTTCTGTCTGCATGTGTCCTTATAGGCCAGAAGAGGGCACCAGATCTCATTACGGGTGGTTGTGAGCCACCATGTGGTTGTTGGGAATTGAACTCAGGACCTTTGGAAGAACAAGCAGTGCTCTTAACCACTGAGCCATCTCTCCAGCCCCATTTTTTTTGGGGGGGGGACAAGGTTTCTCTGTGTAGCTTTGCGCCTTTCCTGGAACTCACTTGGTAGCCCAGGCTGGCCTTGAACTCACGGAGATCTGCCTTGCTCTGCCTCCCGAGTGCTGGGATTAAAGGCGTGCGCCACCACTGCCCCTAGCCTGTTTAAGGCCCTGGGTTCAAATCTCTAGCGTTGCAAATCAATGAACTAAAATGTTCCAACAAAGCAACCCCTTCAGGTCCTGCCATCATATATGAACTCCATCTCTCAAAAAGGGAGAGAGAACAGGAACCTCATGCTCACCTGTAAGGTTCTGATGTTTAGACTGGTGCATTTTTATAGCATGGTGCCTGGGGCATCTGGAGTCTGGAGCAAAGAACAAGTCATACTAATCTGATGCTGGAGGAGAACCAGCTTCGAGAACCTGTTCTGGCCCCAGAGTGACAGGGTCATGAGTATGGGGTCCAGCCCTGCCCATGGTGAAGTCCACTGAAATGGTGAGAGTGGGCTGGATGTGTTCCCAAGATACTGTATGGGGTAGATTGGTGGTTCTTGGACCAGTGTCCAGGCTTTTCCACAAGTGTGCTCTGCACCCAGTGTGTATCAGACACCGTTAGGTGCTTGGCAGGATCGCATTCTAAAAGCAAAGCACTTTTAGCCACATACAGTTGTGGCAGGTCTTTCTTTGGACCTCCAACTCCTTAATAACAACACGGAGACTTTTTATTAATTATGAAAGCTTGGCCTTAGCTTAGGCTTGTTCATAACTAGTTATCAAAACTTAAATTAACCCGTTTATATTAATCTATGTTCTGCCATGTGGCTCATCTCTCTTCAGTACCATAAGTCCGACCTGCACCTCAGATTCTTTCCCAGAGTTCCTATCTCTTCCTGGAAGTCCCGCCTAGCCTATCCTCTCCAGCCTAGCTATTGGCTGTTCAGCTCTTCATTAGACCAGTCATAAGGTGCCTTAGGCATGTGAGGAAGATCAGAGACATATTTTCACACACTATGCAGAACTATTATCTTAATATACAGTATACAGTGTGTCTTGGAGGTCTGGCCACCAGTGTGAGGATGCACAGGGCACCTACCTGATGTCAGAGGCTGGGCTGAGGTGGTGAAAATTTAGAGTAAAGTAATGGTAAATGTCCCTTCACCTAAGAAGGGACAGTGAGGACTCAGAAGTGTGACTCTCTGCCACCCTATCTTGTGGCTCTGTCTAGAGGGCCAGTTGTGTCATGGTCCAGACTCAGTTTCCCCACCTGTAAAATAGGGCTAACAACCTGTGAGATGGGGGTGTTTTGAGAATTGTATGGGATCTACAGGGGGTGCTATGGGCACTTACCAGGTGTCTGCTGCCTCCTGCTGCAAGGTGCAGGATGGCTCAGAGCCCAGAAAGCCAGCCAAGGTTTCAGGAGGAAAGCCCGGATAGAGCAGGAAGTCTTGTTGCTGTCCATCCCCAAGGCACAGCTTAGCTGAGTGCCACCTTGGAGAGTCAGGACTGTGCTGTGCCTGTCTGGTTTTCCCAGGAGTCCCCAGCTTCCTAATCAAAGTCGTTGGTCTCTGGACCTTGGAGACCATATCATGAGAAGTGTGGAGAGGATTCTTGACCTGATTCCTTCCATCTGGAAGCCTGTCCTAAGCTCCCCTCAGTTGGGTGGAGTCCCTCTGACTTCCTAGTGGCACATGATTTTAACCCAGAAGCTTGGGGGACAGAGGCAGGCTGATCTCAGGCTGGTTTACATAGTGAATTCTAGGCCAGCCAGGGCTGCATAGGGAGACCGCGTCTCAAAACCAAACAGAACCCTAAACAAACAGAAGGCAGAAAGGAAGGAAGCAGAGGGTGGGATTAGAATGGGGATGCTCCTCATGTCTACACAGGTCTGAAACCAGAGGCTCAGAAGGAAGAATCTGGCTGAGTCAGGTGCAGGTAAGAAGGCAGGTCTGGTGTCTCTTTGTCACATCAAACACAGTTTGTGTTTC